ATTTCTTTATTTCCTTCATAACTAACTGCCCCAAGATTTTCAGGAAAGTATCAAAATTGGTAGTCCAAATAGGAGTTATAGAATAACCAACGGAACCAAATAGAAAATAACCAACAGGGTATTGATGCGTACTAATGCGGGGCCCGAGATTTGTCCTGTCTCCCTATCTTCACACCAAAACACGAAAAATTCATTTTTTTCAACAAAATCAGTAACATTTCTTTGTTGTTTTTACACTACAAGTTCACCAAAAATAAAGCAAAAACTCTTAGAAGAGTTTACACAACCTCTTGAAGTCATTTTCGAAACGCATCTTACGAAAGTTGGAACATAAATAGATGAAAGGGCATGGAAGAGAGTTTAGGAATTTCCGAATTCCATTTGGGAATTCCGGCAATTGCATATATCGGAATTTTCCATACTTACTATGGAAAATTCGGATATATATGATTCAACGCTGACTAATTTTATCGTCATGAGTTAATAAATGCTTTATTTCAGTCAATAAAACATAAAATTATCTTATAATAAGTTGCAATAATGAAAAAAATATTTTTCGGCGATGAACCCCGTGTTTTGTGTCTTAAAATTGGCAATTCAACAGTATTTTACGTTTTTGCAGAATCAACTTGTGATCAAATATTTTTAATAATTTTCCAGAATTCAGCAACCAAAAATACAGAGGAACTAACTCTTACTTCGTACACAGAACTGTGTACCAGAACAGAACAGTGTTGCAAGATGTACAATATAGTTTTGTACAGTAATTGTACAAAATGTGTACAGTACGGTTTTTACAATATAAAATGTTGAAATAAGTCATGATTTTACACTAAGATGATTTTACAAAGTGGTTTATACACCTTTTTAGTTGAGAAAGTAAATTAAAAAATTTATAAAATTTTACATCAAACATTACAATAACGTTTTTATACTAAATTATTGTATACTAAAAAATAGTTACAACTTTAATTACAATATTAGTTTAAATTTACACGAATCTTAATATACTATTTTGAAATAGGCTCAGTTGGCACTTCAAACATAAATTTACATAAGTCTTAACACTTTTTTGAATTAAGATCTGTTGGAAATGTAAACATAAATTTACACGAACCTCGATATTTTTTTTGAAATTAGATTAGTTGGCACTTCAACAATGAATTAACATGAACCTCATTTCGTGTTCAATTAACATGAACCTTATTTTTTTTTTGAAATAAGATCAGTAGGCACTTCGAACATAAATGCTGCGTCATTATCATCATCGTTTTTTTCATCATAAGCCTTATTTGTTTTGCTTGTATAATCAGGAATAAGATTAGAAGTACTAGCGTCGTGGACCATCATAGATCGCTGAAACATAATAGATGATTGGTTATTTTTATCGTTTGTTTTTGAGCAACGGCGTCGATAAACAGACACGAAAACAACAGCTATTATAACAAAAGCGCAGGTGACGGAAATAGCTATCACGAGAGTTCGCCCTTTTTTTTCTTGTATTGGTTTATCGTAAGCACTTCGAACACTTATAACTTTATAATTGTATTTTTCTAAATGATAAGCAAAATCATTTTCCTTCATGATTTGAATGGCTTTATCAGCTGGTAGTACTTTTTCGTTGCCGTCTTTTATTACAATGTGAACATTGGCGTTCAATGGCGTCATTTTTGGCACTACAGGTTTATGCATAAATCCATCAAGTTGTCCGCACTGACTAAAAGTATCATCGCTGGAAAGTAATTGCAAACAAAATCCTTTTACAACGTTAGGTGAAAAGAAGATGGCCGATTTATTGCTACCCAACTTACTAATTGTGCAATCAAGTATAAAAAACACTTTTGATTCATCATTTTTTAAAACGTGATCTGTCACATGTACAATGCAGTGCCCGAAATCCATGACAGAAATATCTTTCCTTTTCCGTTTTCTATCTGCAGGTACGGACATGTTTATTGCTTTTACTATGCGATTAAGAGAAAGTTCCAAATCGTATTGTGTTGGAAGACTCCAATTCATAATGGGTTTCGATATAAGCGTTATTATGTTAGACTTACTAATGCACCGAAATGTTTGATTTACTGTTTCACTGTTGCTCTCGAAAGGTACGCAAACTTCATTCTTTTCAATACACTTGTTACTTTGGCATGCATTTGAATTATATTGACACCGATTTCCAGACTTCCCTTGCGGACAAGCACATCTAAACGTACCGATTATATCAGTGCAATTTCCTTTATTACAAGTGTTCGAATCTGGAGCGCATTCATTAACATTTTCTTCGCATGTTTGACCTTGCCAGGAGTCTGTGCAAACACATTGAAACCCGGTATCTATGATTTCGCATAAACCTTTATTTCGGCAAGGATTTTTACTGCAAGCTGTTCGGTTACAAAGTTTTTTTATGTTTTCGGTATTTCGAAAGTTTGTAACATACAGTGGTCGATTTAATATAACTTTAGCTTGCTCCTCAAAATCTTCTAAGAAAAAATCAAAACACAAATTTTTAATGTTTGGTTTTAATATCTTTATATTTAGTTCAACCACGCTTTCCCGATTAACAACGTTTATCTTTACTTTTTCGGACTGAACTTGTCCTTGGTTGTTTGTAATATTACAAAAATAAGTAGCAGAATCCGCCGGTATTGTTGATTCCAAAACAAATTCATCTTGAGTTGCATGTTTTATCGGTAAATCATTTTTAAACCATTGATATGTTGGACGTGGAGTTGCGGTAGCTTTGACTGTTAAAATAGCTGTCTCCTTTTCGTTTACAACAACGTTAGTAGGTTGTTTCAGAATCGAGGGTTTTTCTACATTACAAATTTAATCAAAAATACATAATAATATAACACAGCAACAAAAGAACTAAAGTTTATAAATAAAAAACATATAAAATGTTTAGACTACTTATAAATATCTTACAAACTGTTTTGGTTAAAACGGTTACCGATAAACAGTTCACACCTTAGTGTAAATATTTCTTACGAAAAAAAAAGTACACCAGAAACGAATTACATTTTCGAAACCACCGTACCTCGTTCTGTTATGACCTAGATTTTGAAAATATTCTGTTGATATTTGAAAAAATAAAAAGGGGTTGAACAAGCTGGTCCAGAATTTTTAGTGTTTTTAACTAATGGTGCTTATATAAAATTTTGTAATAATCATATTAATGCAAAATGTTTTAGAAAAAATTGGGACGACCGGAGCCTGCAAATAAAATTAAATCTGGACCCATGTATGGTTTAATAAAAGAAATTTTTTTTTTTCATATTATCTTAAACTTGCTTTAAAATAATCGACAGCTTTATAATTACATACAAAAATCTTTTCTTGTTAAAAAGTTATTATTATTTTTAGTTTAATAGTTCTACAATAAAACTACAATTAACTCCAAAAAATAACTTTAAAAGGTCACTACTTTTAAATGGTAAATTTTTTTGGAATGAAATTTAAAATTTGTTGATAATTTTTGATTGCAATAAATGTGAAAAGAAAAAAAATTCAAAAACATTTTAAGAGCATTACGTTAGGGGCGTGTTCTTAACTTGGAGTTTTAATATGATTGGGTCTGATCACTAGGACAAAAATAAAAAAAAGATTTTAGTTTTTTGTTGTTGTTGAAGTTTTTAGTGATATTTAACATAACAAATTAAAAATAACTGTTTCATATTTTACAAACTAATTTTTCACAACAAATTATATATATAGTTATGCGAGAGTTGTATGAAGCAATAGCTTTATGAAAATATTTTGAATAATTTTTGTGACATTTGGAAACCTTATAACCATTTATCGAGAGCTGAGTAAAATTACGATGAAAAATTCAAGGGCTTGTTTGCTCTTTTGTGGATCAAAGACCTCTTTACAGATCCAATAATTTCGTGTGCTTAATTCAGTAGTACGTTATTTTCCTTATGCGCCGAATCGCATGAAAAAAAGAAAATACACAGATGTTTTATGAAAGCTTTTCCGAAAGAAACAGTTGTTTACAATTAAATTTCATTTTTATATTTCTTAATACTAAATACTATTAAGAGCTTTAACATTTGATTACAAATATTATATAACAAAAACATATGAACAGTATAGATTTTAGGCTTAAAATGGTTAAAATAAATTTAAATAAATGTCTTTTTTATCAAAAAACAAAAAAAAAAATCTTAGTAAACAACTGTTTCTTTCAAGGTATCTTAATTTATGTGTATTTACTTGTTTTTCTTTATGCGATTTTGTGCATAAAGAACCATGACATACGCCATGGTTCGTATAAGTACGTATTAAATACGTGCGCATAAAATTATTGGTATTGTGAAGACGTCTATTACTTGGAGGAATTTTTAAAAAATTCTTCTGAATATTCTACCAAAGTGTGTTTATAAAATGTTAGATGTTTTACTTTTACATACTACTGTTTTACTTTCTATTTAAATATTTTATACTCAAAATCATTCTTTATTGGTAAAATATTTGAAATTGGTAAAAAAAAAAAAAAAATTTAGTTTTAACCAGTTTTGATTTTTATGTAATTTGTGTTGTTGCGTTTATAATATCGTTAGTTGTGCATTGAAAGTTTAAATATTATTAATTATTTTATCTTGTCATATTCAAGTCACAGTCAAAGTAGGAATAAGGTTTATTTAATTTGCTTTGAAAAAGAAAAAAAATTAAGTAAAATACAAGAAAGGAAGTGTAGTTTAATTGAAATTAAAAAATATTTAATTTACAATATTAACTTAAAGGGTAACATCTTCCACAAATTTCAAAAGGAATTTATGGAACTAAGTTAGTAAAAATGGAAAAAGGTAACACCAATATAGTTTTATGTAAACCATTTGATTTCTCTAAGATCAAAGAAACTATTCTTACTAGAAACCAACAGTTTTGCCAATGTGATTTATGCCATATATGGAGTAAATTAATATGTGGATCAAATAAAAAAAAAAGAAGAAGACCAAAATTTGACATAAAAGTTCCCAACGGGCACATATAGTTTCTTTTTCGGAATTAAAACCTCTATAGACACGTATTTTTCATGATCCAGGCGTAAACCAAAAACACGTGTATTTTACGGGCAGTTTTACAAGTTTAGCATATGTTTTTTGAGGTTTTAAAGTCAAATTTAAATGTCGCATGCTTTTATGTGCTATCATATTTTCAGTGATTTCACATTCCTTATGGAAAGTTATAACTTTCCGTAAGGAATGTGAAATATATATAGTATATATATATATATATATATATATATATATATATATATATATATATATATATATATATATATATATATATATATATATATATATATATATATATTTAATTTAATAAAAAAAAAAAATTAATAATAAAACCTATTATTATGGATGTCGCTTCATTGGAGGTCTTACAGTAAAAATATTATTTGTGTTTAAAGCATTGTGTTTAAAATTGAAAGTGAAAAATGTAAAAAAAGAACTTTCATTGTAAATATGATAACTGAGATGAAGTGATAAATGAGAAGTTGATTCAGTGGTAAAACCTTTTTCAAACAAAGCCATTTGTTTCTGTTCTAAAGCTCTGAAAATGAAGTTATGAAAAAGAAGATTTTTTACCATATTTTTTTATATGTTATGGTTTTATACCATTATAACCCATGGTTTTTTAAAGTTCTCTGCCTTCAAAGGCGCCCACAAACAAACTTGATGTTTTCAGGACTAGTATCAAAATACAAAAGCTAATTGTGTTAGCAATCAGAGATGATGACGTTGAAGAAAGTAAAAATGATTACCAACCTACTTAAAATTATTACTTTTACATTCCATATACTTAAAATATTCTGATTCTTGATTCCAAAACTCTTTTTTCTGATTGGTCCAGAAATCCTGGTTTTAGAAATTCTTAGTGTTACTAGGACAAAGTTGAACAATGGCTTTACGGTGAAGAAAAATATTAGTTAAGTAATAAAAGGTTACATTTAAAATAAATTTTTTTAATATCTCTCAAATAACTGTGTTGAAAGAAAATATATAGCTAATAAATCACTATGTGATAAATTTTACAAACGAAGATCAAAAACAAAATCGCTTTGTTGTAAAAGATCATAAAAATAAATTAGAAGAAAACATGCGAAAAAATGAACAAATGATTAAATTTTATAATTATATTCCGATGCGTCTAAGCGGGTCATCCATAAATTATGTTACACTCTAGGAGGGAGGGCGGGACAACTCATTTGGGCTTTTTACTAAAGTGTTATGATATTGTGACAAGGAAGGGATGGGGGGGGGGAGGTAATTGAAAATGGTCAAATTTATTTTTTATAATTAATTTTTTATTATCAAAAATAAGGTATATAAATTTCATTATTAATTTTGCAAAAAATATTTTTAAATTTAAATTTTTTTTATTATTTAAAGGAAACTGCCTCTGTAACAAGAGTGTAAATAAATACAAGAAAACTACAAACTTTATTAATTTTGGATAATATTGGACAAATGCACCCACACACAGATGTGTGTGTGTGTGTGTGTGTGTGTGTGTGTGTGTGTGTATAAATATAAATATTTAAACTTATTATTATTGAAAATAATTAAACTGTAAATAGACTCATTATATTAATTTCAATTTGTAATATTGGGAAGTTATTATTATTCATATGTTTTATTCTTTTGTTTAATTTTATTTAGTTATAATATTTTTATATCTTTTCTAAACTTACTTTTTCTAGAAAACATTTAAGGAAATTTGATTTACAGAACTTAAAACAATTCTCACCATGTATTAACAGTTTTGTCACACTTGACTGAATAACTCCTGGTTTACTTGATGCAATGCATGCATAGGATCCTTCATAATCAGGTTTTACTGATGGCAATGATATATTGCCATCATTAGACCACCCAGAAACAAGACTTCCATCTTTTGACCATCGATAGATTACAGGAGAATTGCCAGTTGCAATGCATGACAAAGAAACTGAATTGTTTACCAAAACTACAATCTCAGATTGTGAATTCTGATTTTGCACAGAGCATAAACTGCTTACTTTCAAAAGACCAACTTCAGTGATAGAAAAATACATAGCATCACATGTAACAGTGTTGATAACAATAAAAGTGGCATTACTTGATAAAGGTTTATCACCCTTATCTGAGACACCTATCATGACATAGTTCTGAACTTGATTAGAAACAACTTTCTGGTCAATGCGCATTATACTAAATTCAATCTAAAAAAAAAAAGAGATAAAAAAGAAATTATTATTTATTTATGTTTATATTATTGAATATTGGATAGATAATATAGATTATCGCAAAGATAATATTGATTGGGAAAATGTAAAGTCACTAAAATCCAAAAACAATTTTTATAAAAGAGCTGTTTGTGAATCTCTAGAGATTTAACACTCTAAACTTAGATACAATATTTTGGCACTTAAAATATGGCATAAAATATTTTGGCACTTTAGGTAAGAAGGATGTTAGTAGGTATGTCAAAATTAATCACTTGTAATTTTTTAACTTAAATTTAATGAGATGGGGAAATAAAACAAAAAAAATAAAAGCGGAGTGGTGGTAAAGGTGGAGTGGTTGTAAAAGTGATGTGGTGATAGGTGGTAAAAGTGAAACAAAGGAACTGTGATTAAGGAGTGGTAGTAAAGGTAGAGTGGTGGGAAAGAGTGGTTGTAAACCACAGTGGTGATGAAGTTGGAGTAATGGTCCCACCTAACAAAATAAAAATATATATAAGTCAACAAATCTAAAGTTGTTAACTTTTATATTCTTGTTTTTTTTACTTTTTTTTTTTTTAATTTTTCGCTATTGTTTATAGCTAAATTAAAAAAAAAATATATATATATATGGTCAATTCCATACATCACGCACGTCACTTTTCAGATGTATATAAGCTCAAATTTTAATATAAAAAAATATAGAGCACTATTAGATGCATAAATCTGTTGCCAAACATGACTTTTACAACATAAAAACATAAATTCTTAATTTTAAGTATGTAAAACATTTGACTTATACATATAATGATGGTCACGCACGTCACTTGAATTGGACAAGTCATAATTTCATCATCAAAAAACACTATTTTCCTGAGCTGTTATAAACACTATCTGTGTCATTTTTAAATGCAATATACTTGAATCTATGACAAAATGGAAAATGTTAAAAAAGACACCAGAATGTGTAGTACATGAAAGTGGTAAAACATTTTCCAAAATTGTGTACTTCACGCTCGTCACATTTTTATCTATCACGCACGTCACATTTCAGATAAAAATGCAATATAATTTATTGTTACAGTTATAATTAATTGTTTGCAAGTCTTATGTTATTATGATATTCTATATAACATTAGTTAAATACCATAGAAATCGAAAAAGAAAACAAAAAAGACCCAAACTATTAGTTAACTTTTTACTCATAATGTCCTGATTTTGTGGAATTGAAAATATATATAATTAATAATAAAAAAAAACTGTAATCAATGTATAAAAATTAAAAAAAAAAAACAATTTATTAACAATATAATAAAATTATTTAAAAAAAAATAAAAAACAATGCTTACCTCTCCACCTTTTCCTAAATCCTTATCAGTTGCATTAACAACAACAATATCAGTTGTGAGAACATTTTCGTAATAGATTTTATTTTCAACATTTAAAATTATTGGTGCATTATCATTTATATCTGTTACAGTAATATAGACATTTGCTACTGTGTAATTATTTTTTACTTCCCCCCCTTCACCCACATTGTCACTTTCAGTATATCCACATGATGTAGAGCCAGCTTTTATTAAAAGGTGATATACTTCTGAAAACTCACGATCTACTTTATCTGAAGTCATAACAGTAATCCAGCCTGAAACAGAGTCTATTTTAAATGCCCCACGATCATTGCTCTCTAGAATGCCATAGTTCAAATCAGCATTTGCCCCAATATCTTTGTCAGTGGCTGTCACTTGCAAAATGGATGTCCCATATGGTAGATTTTCTAAAATTGTTTCTTTATAAAAAGACGAGGTAAATACTGGACAGTTGTCATCCATATCTAAAACATCCACAATTAATAAAGCTTCTGTGTGCAGAGAAGGATTCCCATTGTCTCTGGCAACAACTGTAATATTATATTGACTTATTTCTTCACGATCTAGTGCTCGAAGAACTATGACTTGCCCAGTTGTAGAATTAACAGAAAATAAGTCATGTTGAAGAGAGTACAATATCTGTGCATTACTACCAATATCTTGATCTGTTGCTTGAAGCTTCACTAATTCATTTATTCCTTTACTGTTCTCTTTTATTTCTGCATGCAATTCATCCTCATTAAAAATTGGATAATTGTCATTGACATCTAAAACTGTGATATTAACAGTAATAAAATTTTCAAGAGGTATGTCTCCATTATCACGCGCAAAAATTGTCAAATTATAAAAGTCTTTTGTTTCTCGATCCAAACTTTTTTTTAAAGAAACTGCACCTGTAAAAAAATAAAACAATATTTTTCAATATATAAACTTGAAAAATTTTATATGAACTTTAACACTAGAATAAAAGAAAGAACAGCACAAGAATAAAAGAAAGAACAACACTAGAATAAAAGAAAGAACAACACTAGAATAAAAAAAAGAACAACACTAAAATAAAAGAACAACACTAGAATAAAAGAACAACACTAGAATAAAAGAACAACACTAGAATTAAAGAACAACACTAGAATAAAAGAAAGAACAACACTAGAATAAAAGATATAACAAAAGAAAGAACAATATCAATACACAAGTTATTTTAAATATGGATCAAATATAAAATTTTAAAAACTTTTAAAGTCACTTAGTCAAATTTAGAAATAATTATGTTGATGCATTTGAAAATCATTTACCCAACGATCTTTTTAATTTATTGCTCTTATTTAATTAATTGTTGTATAATTGATTGTATATCTAACATTATGTTAATGTAAAATATAATGTAATGTTAAAGTAATGTTAGTTGTATATATAATGTTCTTTTCTTATTTTATAAAATTGTTTTTAAAATTTGATAGTAAGTGAGGGTTTTGTTGTCATGATTAATAATTCTGCTATTTTTTAATTTTTTTTTTTTGTTTAACTATTTCATATCATACATTTAATTTAATTTCATTCATTTAATTTCATAATGATTTCATTTATTTAATTTCATCAATTTAGAGAATCTGAGAAGAAAGGAGGGGGTTTGTGTGTATTTATAACCAATGAAACGAAAATATAACAATTTATTCTTCAGATATAAGGAAGTAAACTAAAGTAAGCAAATTACTGTAAACAGGCTTTCACAGGAAGGCATGCGATTTCATGTCTTTATATGACCACGCAAGTTACATTCTACGATGATGATGGTTTGACCGCACCTTATTCAAAAAACATTATAAAAACGCGCTAAATAAAAAATATTCTGAAAAAGTGATATTAATTACATCAAAACTTCTTAAAAAATTTTTTTATATTAGCGAAACAATTTTAAATAAAGTAACAATTTACTGAAAAAAGGTTTTGTCTTTTAAATATAATTGAAAGTTGTAATTTAAAACATATAAATTGTTAAGTGTTTACTTCTAAAATAAACTTTATTAAAAAATGAAAAATGGTTTTGTTTTTATAAATGATGACTTCTACGAATATGAAAGTCTCTTTAACAAATTTAAATATAAGAATGATTAAAGTTAATGCATTTAAAAAGATAAACAAAATTTTGTTAAAAAAAAAGTTTTAGAAAGCCGTTACAATTTAATAAGTTTGATCGAAATGCTTTTAATGAAGTAAAAAAAAAAACACTTCTAATTAATTTAAAAAAAAGTATTAATAAAATGTATTTTTATTTTATTTATATAACTATGTATTTTTATGAGAAATGTTTAACTTTTGAACATATTAAATAAATAAAAAATATATACAAATGTTGAAACAAAGATTGAAATGTTAATTTACTTTACGCATTAAAAAACAAAGTTTTTTAATGCGTAAATTAAATAGACTAAGCATTTTAGTTTAATGAGTTTTGTTTTAGTTGCGTTATATATATATTTATTTTTTTGTGCTTTTGCTTTAACTAAGTATTTTTTTTATTTTCTCTTTCATTAAGATTTTTTTTCTTTTACAATTTTTTTCAGATAAGTTTAGGTAAGTTTTTGTTAGGTAAGTTTTTGTTAGGTAAGTTTTTGAATTTTGAAAATATGCTGTGGTCAAATTGTTAAAATATTATTTTTTTGCGTGGTCATATAAAGACATGAACTCACATGCCTTCCTGTGAAAACCTGGTAAATGTATGAATAAAATAAGCTAAAATATGGTTTTAGGAATAACAAAAAGGCTGACCACTTTGCTTTTGTCCACTCATTTTAAATTAGCAGCCATATCCAATTTTTAAATAACGTTTTGTAATTATGTTTTAGTTTAATAATAATCATTTCTGGTCATTTATATTTCTTTTCAAGCCTGATTATAAGATAACTTTCAAGTAATAGCTGATCAAGCTATTTACATATTTAAAAAACCTTGAAAATGATTTTATTGAAAAAAAAACCTTTTTAGAGCAACCTAAAATGTTGGTTTTTAGAGCAACCTAAAATGTTGGTTTTTAGAGAACCTAAAATGTTGGTTTTTAGAGCAACCTAAAATGTTGGTTTTTAGAGCAACCTAACTTGTTGGTTTTTAGAACAACCTAAAATGTTGGTTTTTAGAGCAAACTAAAATGTTGGTTTTTAAAATTTTAAAAATTAAATTGTACTTCAGATTTTAATGATTAAATGGTACTTTAGTTAGAAACAAATAAAAACTAACTAAAACTATCTAAACTTTACTTTTTATATATATATGTAGTTTTCAAATTATATACTAATAATATTATGATTTTATAAAGGTCATGAAACTAACCATAAATGTTCCTTCAGCAAGTAATAATGTATATATTTATTTTTACAAAACATGAGCATACTCTTTTAAGAAAAATTTTTACCTTGATTTTTATCAAATTTATTAAATGAGATATAGGTAAATAAGCATTTGCAAATTGTAGAAGAATGCATCTATTTTAAGTAGACAAGATGTTTACTGTAAGTAGATGATACATCTACTGCAAGTAGATGAGATATCTAATGCAAGTAGATGAGGTGTTTACTACAAGTAAACAAGTTGTCTGATCAAAAAACTAATTGAAAAAATAGGAAAAAGATTGCATAAAAAAATTGTAGAATATATATATACACACACACACATATATATATATATATATATATATATATATATATATATATATATATATATATATATATATATATATTAATTTTTCGCTATTGTTTATAGCTAAATTAAAAAAAAAATTATATATAAAGCATTATTTAGTTTTTTATTTTTAATATTTCATATTTTATTTCTTTTATAACTTATTAATTAAGTCATTGTTGAAGAGTATTTTTTTAGTACAAAAAAACATATTAATTTGGTAATAATAATTTATATTGTTTAGTAAAAAAAATATACTAAACTTTAAAATTGTTTTAAGTCTTTATATCTTAATTCTACTAACAATAAAATGCATATAATACTTTTATAATTAAAATTGTAATTATTTATCATTTCTTTTTCATTTTTATTTTTTAGGCATTGGAAAGCTTCTTCTTATGATTCTTTCTTCTGGAAGGCTGAACTTGACTTTCTTTTTATGGTACCTGCTGTGTTGTAACAGATTTTAAAAAGAACTTAACTAATGTTAATGTAGTCTTTTTTTGTCATTAACTATAAGCAATGATTCAATTACTAATAACCTGTACAGGTTATTAGTAATTGAACATATATATATATATATATATATAAATATATATATATATATATATATATATATATATATATATATATATATATATATATATATATATATATATATATATATATATATATATATTCCCAATTAAGTTATTTAAACAAGCATGTGAACATATAAAACATTAGGTTGTTGTAGCATTTAAAAAATAAATAGACAATGTTAAAAAATAACATACTGTAAATTTAATATACATGAGAAATTAATTTTCAGAAAAATCTTTATGCTTTTAATTCATATTAAGTATTTATATGAAAGATATAATTTGATTTGTAAATTTAAAGTTGTTTAAAAAACATTAGTTTTGCTTAAATTGACATTTTTCAAATGGTTGAAACCAATGGTTTAAACCATTTGGTTTAAACTAATGACTTGAACCATTGGTTTAAATCAAATGGTTTAAACCTATTAACCCCGAACCTTAATAAGTTAAAATAAATTGAACATAAAATAAATTATACATTAGTATATATAGTATATTAGTTTACTAAAACTAAGCCTATGGTTCCTTAAGGTTCTAAACAAAATAGGACAATGTTGTATGTAAAAAAGATATAAAAAACTTCAATATAAAGTTGGATATTGCACCAATAGATTATCAAATCTATAGTTAATCCAATCTATTAATGTTGTAATGATGTGCAAAAATTGAAATAATTAAGAAAATATAAATAAATAATAAAAAAATAAATACTAATACAAAAAGAATTTAATCCAAACAAAATTTGTATACATTTTGTTTTAAAGTTTCTTTGTGAGTAAAAAAAAAAATACTAAAAACATGTTATATACATTAGCTATAACTAGCTACTGTATGTTGCATGCAACTTTTTTATTGCATTTTATTTATTGTGTTATATATATTGTGTTTGCAAATAATTGATCTAATAAAGTAAAAATATTCTCAATTTATAAAAATTAAGAAAATATATATAAGATAATAAAATAAGAACAAACCTGATAATGAAATTTGAAACATTGAATCATCTTTAATATAATAGCTTATATCAGCATTCTGTCCTAGGTCATTGTCAGAGGCTTCCATAACAAAAATTTGAGTATTAATTGGATAATCTTCAAGAATATTTGGAGATGGATTTGTAATCCACATTGGAGCATTGTCATTCTCATCTTCAATATTTAGAATTATTGTCCTAAAATAATTATATAATTTTATATATATATATATATATATATATATATATATATATATATATATATATATATATATATATATATATATATATATATATATATATATATATATATATATATATATATATGTATATATATATAAATCCACTGGTAAATGAAAACAAAATAAATATTAAAAAAAATCAAAAACTGTAACAACTAAACAAAATGAAAAAGAACTTACCGCTTTTCAGAAAACAGTTTAGGATTTCCAAGATCGTACGCAACATAAGTAAAAGTTATACTTGACTGGAACTCTCTGTCAAAAACACGCAATGTTTTAATTTCACCAGTTACATTATTTACATAAAGATCATAACTATTTTGAACAGCCTCATATCGCAGAATGGCATTCTCTTCAATATCTTCATCAGATGCTGTGGGTGATAATAAAGATATTGATGTGCCTACTGGTTTATTTTCTTTTAAAGAAATAACTTCTGAATTTGATTTAAATTTAGGACGGTTGTCATTGACATCTAAGATTTTAACTACAATATTAGTTTCATTGTGTAATTTTGGATTGCCATTGTCAAAAACAATAACTTTAAAGGAATAACTTCCAATTTTCTCTCTATCTAAATTATTTAATACTTTGATACTTCCTGTTTCACTCTCAATTATAAAAGGAAGATCTGTTGTATTGGATAAAATGTAACTAAGCTTTCCAAATGCATCAAGATCATTGGCATTTACATTTACAACAAGACTATTTCTTGTAGCATTTTCAAGTATAGAAGCAAAATATTCCACCATTTCAAATTGAGGATAATTATCATTAAGATTAATAATAGTAACTACAACAGTAGCAAAGGTAGTGAACTTCCAATCAGAAGCAGAAATATTTAATACAAAAGATTGTATAGTTTCATAGTCTACAGCTTTCATGGTATAAATATCACCCGTAGAAGCATTGATCAAAAAAATTTCTTTGTTGTTAAGAATACTATAAGCTATTTGAGAATTTATTCCAATATCAATATCATTAGCATGGGCTTTAAATAATAACTTTTTTGATTGAAAATTTTCTTCTAAATCAACTAAATATATATATATATATATATATATATATATATATATATATATATATATATATATATATATATATATATATATATATATATATATATATATATATGAATACATTAAATAATAACTATTTATAGGTGAAATCATATAATAGATATTTTATTGTAATAATAACTATATTGTTTATAAATAATAATAATAATAATAATAATAATAATAATAGCAATAATAATAATAGTAATAATAATAATAACAAATATAAATTTGATAATAACAATAATAATAATGATAAAAACATAAAAAAACTGAAAAAAATTAACAAATTACTCTTATACTTTAAAAACATTTTTAAAAACTTTATTTTTAATAAATTAATAATTAAATAATATTATTATTTATTAATTAATTAATTATTTTTATACTTTAAAAATTAAAAAAAACATTTTTAAAAACTTACCATAATAAGAAGTGTTTAAAAATACTGGTGCATTATCGTTATCATCTGTGACATTTATGATATAATTCATACTTGTGTGAAGTCTAGGTGTACCTGTATCTTCAACCTTTACCAAAACATTATGTTGAGAAACAAGCTCACGATCTAAAGGTCTATTTAAAAAAATATTTCCATTGTTATCAATGCGAAAGATATCAGGTGTGATGCTAAAAACTAAAACCTTATTAATACCAATATCAGAATCATCTGCTAAGATCTGAAAAAGATTTGTTCCTATAGAAACACTTTCATTTACAGCAGGTAAAGTTTTTGTTTGGATTACAGGTGCATTATCATTTACATCTAAAACTATGATGTTAACTAAAGTTTCACTAGATTTTGATGGAATACCACGATCAAAAGCTTTCACTTTGATTGTATAAGAATCTTTTTCCTCTCTATCAAAATTAATCAATGCATATAACAGTCCAGTTGATTCATTAATTGAAAAAAAACTCTTACAATCTGCACTAATACTGTAAGCAACTGTTCCGTTTTCATTCTTGTCAATATCAAATGCTCTTAACTGGATTAAAAAGTGACCAGCTCCTAAATTTTCCTTGACAGAAATGTTATAAACATCATTTTCAAACTTTGGATAGTTGTCATTAATATCAGCAACATCGATAGTGATAAAAACACTAGTGCGAAGAGAAGGTATACCTTTATCCACAGCTGCAACTTCAATTATGTAAGTCTCTGTTTCTTCACGATTCAATTTTATTTTAGAACGTAATATACCTTGATAATATATTAAGAAATTTTATATAAATAAAAATTTACATTTATATATATATATATATATATATATATATATATATATATATATATATATATATATATATATATATATATATATATATATATATATATATATCTGTGTGTGTGTGTGTGTGTGTGTGTGTGTGTGTGTGTGTGTGTGAGCAGGTAGATTTTGAGCAGGTAGTGTATATAAATAAAATTTATTACAACAAAAATTTTTTTTGTTTTATTTGTTAAAAAAGTGTCTGGAATATAGTTAAGGGGAGCAGAATATATTACACTGTTAATTATCAACTATTTTGTTAGATAATATAATGCAATTATCAATGCAACTATTTCATGCTCTGATTAGTACTAAAATATATCATGGATAAATATAAAATATAACCATTTGGAATATAAAATTTAAACATAGATATAAGCTTCACCTAATTTTGAGTCTACTTCAAATGTATTATTGTGTGCAGAAACAATTTTGTACTCAATTTCTGCATTTAAGTTTAAATCTTTGTCAGTTGCAATAACAGTAACAATGGCTCCTGAAAAAATACAAAAATTAAATATGTAAGATATATTAAAACACTAAATATATTGTATTTTCTAAATGGCAGACCAATTAAATTGGTAAAATTTTCACTATTAAACTAAGTTATCACTAATTGTGTAATAAACCCACAGAATTTATAAAAATATAACAAAAGATTCCAAAAGAAATCAGTGAAAACCTGTTTTTTTAAAAGATTTTGTTGTATTTCTTGATTTTTATTCATTTTATGTCACAAATTTTATATTTATAATTAAAAAGATTAAAATTACTTTTACAATTTCAATTTTATTTCATTTTTTAAAAACATAGTAATGCTTGTTTTATTTTGTTATAGTTTTTGTGTACATGTTTTTTTATTTTAATTTATTTTTATTTTTTTTGTTTTTTATAAAACTTTAAATTTGCTTTTTATTCTGATTTGATATAAAAATTTAAAGTTTTAATTTTATAAATCATTTTTTATTTATTATTACATAGTTAAACTTTCTTTTAGTTTTCCTCTTATTCTGTTTTCATAGATAATTTTGGGTGTTGATGGGTGTCATAGATAAGCTTGGGTGTTTGATGGGTGTCATAGATAAGCTTGGGTGTTTTCAAATTTTTTTATTAAAACTTTTTATAAAAAAATTTTCTTTTTGCTGTAAACAATACTTTGAAAATATAATTTGTTTCGTTTGTAAAAAATATTTACAGCTGCTATACAGATATAAATAATATAGAAATTATTTTAAAATAAATATTATGCAGAGCACTATAATATTAACAATATAATATAGATATAATATGCAGAACACAGTCATAAATCATCTATGATTCATCTATTAATTACCTTCATTGTTTTAAAAAATGTGTGTGATTTACAAAAATGTGTGCGTGATTTACAAAAATATGTGTGATTTATAAAAATGTGTGCGTGATTTACAAAAGCTTTTTTAATATTGGTTTAACTAACAAAGTTATCAAAATACAGAAGGCTTATTAAATTACAAAAAATTACTTAACATCCATTCAATTAATGAAGTTAACAAGTAAATAATGTTTATTAAATAACTTAAGTTATTTATTGGACTTGTTATACCGAAAGTCAGGAAAACTGTAAAAATGTTTAAAAGGTCCCCAAACAAAAATAATTTTTTTTAACAAACGTACGTAAAATGGAGTTTGAAAAGATTGTCCATTTAATCATGGATTGCAAAACTCAATGGAGCAGCTTGTTGCTTATGCTAAACCAATTTATGAAGAAATAATATTTTTTAATTTTTAAAATTAAAAATTAAAAAATATTTTAAAAAGGCACTTCTAGATTTAGAATTGGATTCCAGATTCAATTAAGATGAATGAAAAAGAAAATATAATAATATTTGATTTAGTAGTACTTCTGAATCCTGTTAAAGCAACTGTGGTAGCAACTGTGGTAGCAACAGTGGTAGCACTTTGTAGCAAATTCAACTTTGTAGACAAGATGTAACTTTAATTTCCACTGACATTGAATTAGAGTTCATGTTGACAAAAATAAAATAAAAACATTCTGAAATTGGAAAATAAATATGATGATAATGTCAAAACAATTAGTGAACAATTAAATGAAGATATGGAAGAAGAATTGACAAAAATAGAAACACAACTTATAAGGGTAGAAATTATAACTTTTAAATTCAAAAAGAAATGCTGTTATTTGAAAGCAGAAACCACAACAACAACAACAACGTACGAAGTACAACAGCCAACAAGTATGGAGTGAACAAGCAATCTCAGCTGCTGGGTTTTTATGTTCAAAAATTTGAATACAATTAAGCAATGAAATGATTTACGCTTTTAATTTTTAGGGTGGTATTTTCAAAAATAAATATAACTCATGTATATTCGCGCATATATTAGTTATAGTTATTATTTTTATTTATACTGTGTTATCATTTTAAAGTATTGTTTTATAATTTAAATTACTTAGGTTCATTAATGAATGAAGTATTTTAGTTATTAAATTAATTATTTTTAAGTGTTTGACAACGACGAGTACTTAAAATATTACTTCTCTTTATGCTTCACTTTCTACAATTTTTTTCTATTCAATTTCCTGGGACGAATTCCGGATTGAAAACATTCTAGATTTTTGCCATCCCTAATTAAGAAACAACTTACTCCTCTCTATCATTTATTACTGTTTAATTGTTATCAACAAAGAAACAGTATCTCAAAACAAAACAAAAAAAATCTGTTAGTTTAAAAAAAAACTTTTAGTTTAAAAATTAAAAAACATAAAATCACTTATAAAATTTTTTTAAGAAGCTTTATGATAACTTTTGTTACAAAAATAATATTTATCTTAATTTGATATTAGAAAAAATTAATTTAATATTAAAAGTTAATAATTAATAGTCTAATATTTATCTTGTTGCTAAGTTACATATTAATAATAAATATTTTGTAAATGTCTTTTTAAAATGAATTTGAAAGTAAAAATTCAATTTTTCTAAACACCATCTAAAAATATTATATATATACCAACTGCATATATTATATATATACCACCCACAAATATTATATACGACAATAATATAACACTTCAACATTTGTAACATTAACTGCTGTTTCATAATGTTTTGTTTTCAAAACTTTAAAACAAATAAAAGAATAAAATAATTCAAATAAAAATTTCAAACTTGTAAAATCATCACTCTCTTCTTCAACATTTCCAGAATAAGATTCATGATTAAAAATAGGATAATTATCATTAACGTCTAGGACTCCAACTGGTAGGTAAACAACCTCTGTTTTTTTTTCGTTGGAAGCTTCAACACTGATGTTATAAAAATCTTTCCTCTCGCGATCTAGACTTTTTTTTAAAGATAATAACCCTGTGACTTGGTTAATTTGAAATGTATCCTCATCATTTCCTCCAATAATTTTATATGTTAAGTTTGAACCATCAGCGTCAGTTGCCTTAAACTGCATGATAGGTTGATTAACTCCAAGATCTTCATATATAGATACTCCCTTTACTTGTTCAAACTTTGGAGCTGTGTGGTCCTCATTAATGATACTTATGTTAACCTAATGCATACAAATTTCCATAAAATAAAATTCAAATATTTCAATTTAAATAAAACTATGTATTAGAATTAATATAAATTGTAACATATTTAATAGGTAGTCATATGTAAGGGAAAAATGCTTACAACTGCACTGTCAGATAAAGGGGGTGACCCTTGATCTATAGTTTCAATATTCAAAATATAAGATGCAACTGTCTCATAATCTAAGGCTGCAGCTGTTGTGATCACACCTGTATTTGAATTAATAAAAAAATGATCGGAATTTGGGCTGCTTTTAATTTCATAAACAAACTGACCATTTTTACCAATATCAAGGTCAGAGGCAGTAATCTAAAAAAAAATTTAATTTTGCATAAGAAAACATGATGACAATTGAAAATGACAAATGATTATAAAAATAAAGATTGTGAAATGAAGATGAAAAATAAAGAGTGTGTTGAAAAATAAAGATTCTGTTGACAAATAGGTTGAAATGAAGTATAATGAGATTGAAATAAAATATATTTACAGATTGAAATAATGTCTAGATGGTTGAAAAGAAGATATTGATAAAAATAGAAAATTTTTAAAAATTGATGGAGTCAGGTTGAAAAATTAAAAAAACGTATTAAAAAATAAAGAATATCTTAGTAAAATATGAACTCGAAACTATTTAACTAAAAAAATTAAAAGTATTTTTTTTAACATAAAAACATTATTTAAAGAAATACCTTTAGAACAAACGTCCCATTTGATACAGTTTCTTTAATATTTCTTTGATACATCTTTTCTTCAATTAATGGCACGTTATCATTTATATCTGTAATAGTAACAGCAACATTGACAAAAGAAGAAAGAGAAGGTGTTCCTTTATCAGAGGCTCTTATTATAAACTGGTAGAAGTCCTTTTCTTCACGATTCATTTTTTTTGCTTTTATAATACCTATACCATTGTCTTGGCTATCAATCCAAAATCTAAATACATTTTTTAAAGTTAGCTATAAATCAAAAGTTTAAATACATTTTTTAAAGTTAGCTAACAACCCAAAATCTAAATACATTTTTAAAGTTAGTTATAAACCCAAAATCTATATACATTATTCAAAATTAGTTATCAATTTAAAATTTAAACTTATTTCAAGTTCTAGATTTTAGCACAAATTTAGCCTATCAAAATCTTATTATACTTATATTTACTGTAATTAAATTTATATATATCATGTTAAACCATATTATTAAAAGTTTTAATAAGCAAACTCTGAAAGTAATTTAGTTAAAGCTGAAAAAAAATTTATCACTAGTTTATTTAAGATTCACCTAGATTATTTTTTTTTATCAAAGTTCTAAATAAAATAAAAAAAAAAAACTTTCATAAAAAGTGAATTATAATTTTATTACAAAATAACATTAGAAAATTTGTTGTCATTTTTTATAGTAAATTAGTGATATTGCAATATGTTATTGCGTTTTCTTATTTATATATTACATTTGTGATATTGTGATGTGCTATTAGAAAGTTAAACTTGTAATATTGCAATGTTTTGATTGGAATGTATAAAGTGACTGAACTCATGAGACAATTATTTGAAACAAAATATAACTGGTTTATAACTAGTTTATAAGTTTAAGTTTATAACTGGTTATACATTTAAGGTTATAAGTTTGTTCTCATTTGTTTTGAGTGTATAAAGTGACTGAATGTTTTTTCTCAAACAAAATATTGAATGCTAGTTCTTCTTCTTCTTATTATTAATTTATTACTTTACAATATAAATAACTATAAAGTTGTCTGAATAACTCAGAAAAAAAATTAAAAAGTGTTGATTTATTCTCAAGACATGAATGTTTAAAGCTTACGTGACCAAACTTAATTCAGCAATTTTACAGTATATATTAGGGTTTGCAAAAACCCAGAAAATTTTTATTCCTGGGATTTGGGATTGTATAATTAATTTCCCAAGTTTCCTTGGAAATCCCGGCATTATTTTATGCTTTAAAACTAAAAGAACAGTCATACTTTAATTAAGTATATTGCAGTAAAATGAATGAATAAAATGAATAAAACTTGTACATAAAGTTATTTATTTTGCCTTTAGAAAATTTGCTTGCAGAAAGCTCAAACTATATTAACTATTATCACTTAAGCGACTTCTTACTTTATTGAAAAAAAAACCTGCTGAGAAAAATACCCTTTCTGACTCTACGCTAGTTAGTTTGATTGTCATTAAAAATCATAAACTTTCTAAAGACTATTACCCCAAGTACAACCACTTTCAAACAATGACATTTCTTTTGAAAGTTTAGAAGTAAGAAGATTTGCCTAATCTTGACAAAGAATTTCTGGGTGTTGCTAGAAAACCTTTTTCTAGGGCTTCATTTAGTAATGTATATAGTGCAGTAGACTACTTGATTCAGTCCTTCACTCTTTGATTCTGGAGGCTAATGCATTAAAAAGTTGACATTAAAAACTTGTTGTAGTATTCAGTTCTTTTAATTTAGTTAACATAAACTCTAACGGAATGTCAGCAAGGTTTGCATCATGCCGACATGCTTCTACTGCTGCTTTTACTGGAATTAGCACGTTTACTAGTTCAGAAACAATTTCATACTCATTATCTGATATTTTTATAGAATCATTAATAATGATATCAAGCGCCTTTTTATGCAATTTTTTAATCTATTTTTAAACCTTTCAAATATTGATATTAAGCTGCTCCATTTTGTTTTACAATCTTTAATTAAATGAAGGTTTTTTGAAGACAATCATTATTTTTAGTTAGTGATCTTTTAAAAACCATCACAAGTTTTCTAAATTTATTAATCATAGGACCAATTGCTTTATCTAAATATTAATAGCCGAATGAATATTGTTAGTGCGCATAGTTACGCATTGTTACGCCTATTGTTCGTTTTGTTAATTACGGTTCTGCATTATGTAAAATACACTATTTCTTAGTTTTGAAGTTGTTTCTAGACTTTTCTAAGCGCAGTTATATATTCCACGCGGTCTTTCGAGTAAAATCAGCAAGCAAATTGGAGCTGATACACTTATTTTCAAAAAGAATTGATATTGTTTATCTTTTTAAATAAAAACTTAAATAATTGTTAGTTTGTTGTTGCTTATTTTTATTTTTTCTAATTTTTATAGCCTGTTTTTATTTTTTAGAAGAAGTTAGAACTAAAATGTTTTGTAAAATAGTTATTTTAGTAAAATGTTTCTTTTTTAGTAAACTGTTTCATTTTGTCGTTAGTCATTTTCGAACATTTTAAGCAAGTATTGTTTTGTTTTTTAGAGCAGTTGAGAGAAGCTGATAGTTTTTTTAGTAAGTTCAATTTGTTTTCTTATTTATAGATAAAGATTGTTTTTTGCAAAAAGAATTATATATAAAATAGAGTTTTATATATATATATTTAATATGAAAAGTTAAATAAAATAAGACTTATTTGTGTTCATGTTATATACATAAGTTTGCGTTTATTTTAGTCTATTTTATATTTCTCTATATCTATACTATATGTATATTTTCTCTTAGCAAAAGTTATTGAAAATAGAAAAAAAAAAAATTCTTCTGGAATTTGTCAAAAGAATGTTGTGTTATGCTTCATTTTAAGGTATCTAAATATGTATTTATTTTTCATTTTTTAGAAGAAGTTAGAACTAAATTGACTGGTAAAATAGTTTTATTAGTACAATGTTTCTTTTTTAAGAAAACTGTTTCAGTTTTGTCATTAGTCTTTTTAAAAGTTCGATCCCCACCACGTCCCTGGTAGTACCGCGCACAACTCGTTTCTCCGCGCAGCGGTCTTGTTTGTCAAGGTTCGTGTTTCAGAGTTATAGAGTTGAGAGAGGGTTATAACCACTATTAAGTAGCCTCCTCGTCTGTAGTGGCCTTCTCGGCCTTGAGGAGGTGAATTACAAAAAACAAAAAACAAAACATTTTAAGCAAGTATTTGCTTTATTTTTTAGAGCAGATAAGACGAAATAATCGCTTTTTTAGTAAGTTTACTTCATTTTCTCATACATAGGCTAAGATTTTTTTATATAGAAAGAATAATGAGAATAAAATTTTATTTATGTATTTAATATGAAAAGTTAAATAAAATAAGACTGTTATTTGTGGTCATGTAAGTTTATATACATAAGTTTGCGTTTATTTCAGTCTATTTTATATTTTATATTTATATGTATATTTTCTCTAAGGAAAAATAATAAGGAATAGAAAAATTTAGAAAATTTGCTCTGGAATTTGTCAAAAGAGTGTTGTGTTATGCTTCATTTTAAAGTATCAAAATAAATATTCATTAGAAATTTTTAATTTTGTTTTTAAATGGTTTATTCTTTTTCATTACTTTAGATAAATATATACTGACTGACATAACATCATTTTTATTAACAATGTCGTGCATTGTAGTCTGCATTCTTTGTTACATACAAAATAATTGATGCTAATAAATGTTGTTTTATAGTTGTTAAAAGTTTGCATATATGTTTGCATGTATATTATGATCAAAGTTAAAAGTTTTTTGATAAATACGTGTATGTGGTGATATATGTTATATAGTTGTTTTATAAATGTGTTTTTATAATAGTATGAAATGTATTATATCTAATTTCTGCAAGATTGTTAAATGGGGTGTTTTTATATGCTAAGTAACATTAAAAAAATATATTGTGTTTTATAATTAGTATATATGCTTATATAATGTTGTTTCCATGATTTCAAAGTGAAGTGACTTGGCAAACGTGTAGAGCAAGATTTATCAACCTTACCAGTCAAGTGATGTTACTGCTTTAGGTCTAAGTGTTGCCTAGACTTTAATATAACTATTCTGAAAACACATTGCTTTATCTTTAATAATTTTTCGCGTAATGTTGTTACCTTTGGTTTATCTTTACGTTGGTGTCAGCTGTTAAAAATGATTAATAAGTATTTTCATTACTAGAACTCACTGCTTTTATTTATTTACTGAAATTCATTCAAGACATCATTTCGCTATAAATACTATTTGTTTATCATAAAAAAACAATATTTAGCAACTACTACTCAGGTATCACCACAGCTTATCTCTATCAGGTACATTGATTTTCAATTCACATATGATGTTTTTCTTTGTATTTACTTATTCGTTACATTTTTAACTTCAGATTTATGGTGTATTTATTTGCTATAGAAGAACAAATCATTTTGAATTTTTTAAAAATATCTACTCCAATCAACATTTAAAGTTCATTGTTGCATATACCATTTTTAAGTAGCTTCTAGGCTTTTTTGATGCTTTTCTTATTCAAGTGGTTTTATAAGCAAGGTCTACAAGCAAATTTGAGATGAAAAGTTTTTCAGCTTTCAAGGAGTATTAATGTTGTTCTCTGTTTAATTTAATTTGTTTAAATAGAGTAGTTTTAGTAAATAAATGTTTGTTTGTTCTTGGTTTTTTACTTATTTGTTTTCAGATTCTTAAGAACTAGGCAACTTATCAAAGCAAGATTTATTTTATTTTTTAGTGCAATCGGAAAGAGCTAAAGTGCTTTTTAGTCACTTCAAATCATTTGTTTCTTTTTTTTAAATAGAAGGGTTAATAATAAAAATATTTAGACAGTCAAACTGTTACTGATTTGAGTAAGTTTAATGTTTTGTTTAATTTTATATTAGATATATATTTTATGTATTTAACATGGAAAACTTACTGTAATTTTTGGCAGGTAAGTTTATATACATAAATGTGCCTATATATCAAAAGATTTTATATTTCTCTGAATCTATATCAATATTATCTCAAAGAAAAAATTAAGAATAGAAAAAATTTGAATATATATACATATATATATATTACTTTAGACTGACATTGCTTCATTTTTTATACAAGATTCTGCATTTATTATTTTTGTGCATTAAGATTGTGCCTGAAGGCTTTCTTAATTTAGCAAAGAATTTAGAACACAATGCAAATAACTTTGCATTGTGTTCTAAATTCTTTGCTAAATAAAAATAATGTCAATAAATTTTGTTTTATATTTTTCAGTTGTAAAAATATAAAAAGTTCATTTATTCAGTTGTAACAGTAGTATAATCACTGGTAATTTATATTTAATGATAACAGATGTATAATATTAGGCTCGAAGAAGTTATTAGTGTAAATGGTTATAGGTGACTTGAAATTGTTGTCATATGAAAGAAATAGATCTAGGCGTAATAAAATTATTTGTCGTTGAAATTGAAGAAATTTTGCTTGATGAACCGAAAACTTACTTGACAGAATTCAGTGTCAAGCGGTGTTGATGTCTATTATTTGACTTTACATTAGACACTTTAAAATAAAGCTTAGTATGAATTTTACTATTTATAGTAACAAATAATAACAGTTTCAATTTTAAATGATTTTTTTTTTTTTTTTTTTTTTTTTTTTTTTTTTTTTTTTTTTTTTTTTTTTTGTTATATTAAACATAATTGTGTTCATTTTTTTTTAGTTGTCTTTGTCATCACTTGATTATTTTGCTTACTGTTGAAACATGGTTTTAATTTTGTAAATTTAATATGATGTGAAATTTACAATATTAATCATTTGTCAACAGTTAGAGAGAAGCTGGAACTTATTTAAGAAATGCTGGAAATTAACTTTTAGTTAAGGTAAAAATAATTTTGTTTATTGGAAGCATAATAAAACCAGTTACTGTTATTTATTGCATGATTTTTTTACTTTTTCTAACATGCTGTTTTTAAAACACTTCCTCTCTCTCTTAGATGAGACTTAAATAAGAATAAGTATTGAGAATTGTAGAGAGAGAATTGATTAAACTCTGTAATTACTGAGCTCTGATTAAACTCTGTAATTACTAAGCTCTTGCATATTTTTTAATACTGCAATTGATAATTTGCTATTTAAAGATATAATTCTTTAAATTGTCCCTTGGTTGTTCAAATATTGTAATAAATAAAATCTTTTTAGTTTCAAGTATTTTCTCTTAGGGATTGTCTATATATTACATAACACAAAATTAAACATATAAAGAAATATCTCAAAAACCGTGTTTCTCTAATGGTCAACTATATCCTGCATTTTCAAGAACTATAGCATTTAATAGTTTGTTTTTCAAAATTGATAAACATCTTATTCAAGGTATAGTAGGTAAAAAAATGTAACATAAATATTGTTATATTTTTAATGTTCTTAATTTTTAGTCTTTAGATTTTCATTTCGAAAATTTATTGTTAAAGGTTGTGAGCACATTTTGTATGTATAACTTTATTTATCATTATTTATTTTTTTTCATTGTTTTTGGTAAATATATCTATCATTCAATAATTTTTTTTTTAGTATTGCTTAAGTACTTTTAGTAACAGGTTTTATAGTTACATTTCTGATAAATCTTTAACTGCAATTTCAAAATAGGTTACTATAAATGGGTAAATCGATTTTTGTGACCAAACTTATGAAATAATTCTTATATATGTAGTGACCAATGTAGTGACCTTTAGTGACCAAACTTATGAAATAATTATTTGAAACATAATATAACTAGGGGAAAAGAACCATTATTAGTACATCTTTGCCATCCCCAACACTGTTAAGATATCCCCAAATAAACTCTGGGTTTATCACTTATATAAATATACATACATACATTAGTCAGTAGTAATTACCAGTAATTAATTATACCTATCAGTGCCTATTACACCAAACACAATTTCTTTGTTGCTTCCTATGTCTTCATCAGTGACAAAAACTTTCCCAACTTCTGTTCCAGCATTTTGTTCTTCAATAAAACTATAATTGTAGCTGACCAAACTAAATGCTGGTTTATTGTCGTTTTCATCAAGTATTGTTACACTTAAAGTAACTGTAGATTCTAAAAAATAAATAAATATGGAGTTACAAAAGTTGTAACAAAAAGTAATTTATTTTATCAGCCATGTGCATCCTCTCATATCTAGTTACATCTTCCAATCAAAAACCAGATAAATCTGCTTAAATAATACTTTATCTATTTTTAATACTTTTTTAAAATTTTAAAGGCTTTGTATATTATATATATATATATATATATATATATATATATATATATATATATACACAAAATATACAAATATATATATATAAAATATGTTTTATGTTTTGGATATATATATATATATATATATATATATATATATATATATATATATATATATATATACACACAAAATATACAAACAAATATATATATATATTATATATGTATATATATATACAAAATATACAAATATATATATATATATATATATATATATATATATATATATATATATATATATATATATATATATATATATATATATATATATATATATATATATATATATATATATATAATATATATATATATATATATATATATATATATATATATATATATATATATATATATATATATATATATATATATATATACATATACAAATAGTATTGCGTACTAAGGTAAGCAATATGACGTCATACTGAAATAGCCTGCTGCTGGGGGCTTCAGTACATACATCGACTGACAAATAGCCTGACTCGCAGTGGAGTGCTGCTACATTGACTGAGGGTTTGGGATGGGGCAGCAATCGTTTCATTCATGATTCTTCGTTTTTTTTTTTAAAAAAGACGTATGGGTTAAGGTAAGCAAAAAAAAGCTAGCAAATGCTTATAAAAATACGCTTTAGTAACACACAACTATAAATGTATGTTTAGATAACATCTGATATCACACATATCTTTTCATTCATTATTGAAAACGCTGTATGTTATAAATGTAGGAAAACTAGTAATAATTTGTAATCTAAATACACTATTTTATATATATATATATATATATATATATATATATATATATATATATATATATATATATATATATATATATATATATATATATATATATATATATATATATTTATATTTATATTATATAGTAAAAACTAAACATTAAAAACTAATTAAATTTTATCTGCAATAGAAAGTAACATGAAAAAGAAATTTCCGCTTTCTAAAAGTTAATTACTTTTTTTAATTTGGATAACAAAATTTGTTTATAAAATAATTTTTATAAAATTCAAATGTAATTTAAATTGTATGAAAAAATTGATAAGTTTTTATAAGCTTGCTTGCTATTTTTGTTGTTTATTTATTTGTTTATAAATGTTATATTTTTTATGTAAAATTAAATGGTTATTAACAATAAATTGAATAAAATATTTTATATTATGTAAGTTCACAAACCTTTAGTTGCAATTTATAAAGTAATTTTTTGAAACTTAAAATGCCTTTAAAAGTAATCTATATTTATAAAGTAAATTTAATTTTTGAAATTTAAGTTACTTTAAATAGATATAATATAATAGAGTGTAAAACTTGCAGCAAAACCCATTTAGCTTGGGACAACAATTGGACTGAGGGATTTTAAGAATATTTTCCTCATAAGTGAAGGCACTTTTAAAGCCTAAATTATATATAAATCATCAGTTGCTTTTTTATAAACTTTTTGTATAATTTTTTTTTTTTTAAATTTTTTATTAATTATTTATTTCTAAACTTTAATAGTAATTTTTTTTTGTATTTATTTTATATTGTAAAATGCATTTTAAATTTACAATAAAAAGGCTACTTGATGTCTCCTTCTTACTCCAGCCATTATTTTTGTTAATATATTTATACATATATTTAAGTTGATGGGATTTCTTTTTTAATAACTATTTGTTACCAAATCTTATATACTGAATTGATTTATAGCTTTTATAAAACTGTTTTAGCAGTCTAATCATCAATCCCCAATCACACATTTCATAATGCCTTATAATACCATACTATAAAGGAAAGTTTTTTTGGAACACTGATGCAGTCAAGAGTTGATTGGATGGGAAACAACCCATCATTTTGTCTAAACTTGACCCCAATTACAATAGAAAAATCCTTTTTTATATATGTAAATATCTTTTTATGGTAACCCTCCATAAAAACCACACACATAAAAAAAATATCATTTCAAGTTTTGCCATTTTTTTCAGTATTCCTGCACTTCTGTCTATTAAGGTTAGTCTTTTGAAGCCAAATTCTCTAATTCATTTAACTTTGTTCACAGCTTTCAAACCACAAGCCGCACATACTTTATCATGTAAATTCATAAATCACAAAGCGCATTGCAATATATATTATTGTTTTGTAAATAGTTCATACCAAGTAATGTAAATTTACCAGTAAATTTTGAAATCAAAACTTTAAAAGTTTAGTGGTAAAGTTACAGGCAAAAATATATCAATAAATTTTACATTCTCATTTCATATTCATTAAGTCATATTCTTCACAAATAAATATTTTTTTGTTTAAAATAGTACTTAAAACATTTTACAATATTCCTGCTAATTGTCTCCGTTGTTTATCTATTAAAGACCAAAGTTGTAGTTAATATTTGAAAACTTATAACTTTTTTTGTAAATATAATTAAATTGGTGATTCCTAATAGTACTAAGATTAAATTTGATCATTTTAATACTTTGCTTATTTTAGATTTTAATAGTATACTTTTTTTAAATTGCTGTTTTGCAAAGTAATTATTTCAGCAGCTTGCAAATAAACATTTATAGATTCATAATTATTAAGTATTAACAAATATTATTTGTGGAAAAATAAGTTTGTATAATTTTTTTTTAATTTTTCTTTTTACAATGATTGAAGTTGCATGGTGACAGAATATAGGCGATTTTACAGTATATAATAATTATAATAAATAAATATAAAATATTTTATAATAACTATAATAAACATATACAAAATAAAAATATTCAATTATACTAAGTAATTCTGTATATTTATATAAATATATAAAAATAAATTTATATAAATATATAAAAATATATATATATATATATATAAATATAAACATGTATATAAAAATATATATATATATACAAATAGTATTGCGTACTTTGGTAAGCAATCTGACGTCATACTAAAATAGCCGGCTGCTGGGGGCTTCAGTACATACAACGACTGACAAATAGCCTGACTCGCAGTGAAGTGCTGCTACATCGACTGAGGGTTTGGGATGGGGAAGCAATCGTTTTATTTATCATTCTTTGTTTTTTTCTTCTTCTTTTTCGAAAAAAACGGTTTACCTTGAAGTAAGCACAAAAAGTGAGCAAATGCTTATCAAAACACGCTTTAGTAAGTGTATATATATATATATATATATATATATATATATATATATATATATATATATATATATATATAACTGTAAAAAAATATTTTATTCTTATAAAAAAATTATTCAACCTCTCTGTTTTTTGCCATTGTCTTTAACTTGGATTGTAGTTGTTATGTTATTTAACACTTCTCTATCTAGAGATTTGTTGGTAGTAATTTCACCACTTATCTAAAATTTAAATTTAGAAATTATATATATATATATATATATATATATATATATATATATATATATATATATATATATATATATATATATATATGTATATATGTATATATGTATATATATCTATATCTATATATATGTGTGTGTATATATATATATATATATATATATATATATATATATATATATATATATATATATATAAATATATATATATACATGTTTTTTTTTTTGCATAAATAAGATTTAAGTTCGATTAAAATCAATTTTTTGCTATAAGTAAATTTTCATTTAACTGATAAAAGGTTCCTGAAAAAAAAATTCAAAATGCATCACTTATTTGAAGTCATTACTCTGCTTATAAAAATATAAATTGTTTATATTTCTTATCAAAATTGGTTTGTTAAATCAGTTGATAAAAAAAACCCAGTAATATTCAGTAATAGAATTCTCTCCATCACATACAAAATAAAAAAAAAAATTAAAAAATTAAAACCTAACTTAAGACTATTATCTGTTTCAAAAAAATAAACACAAGATTATTATGTTTATGTTTAATGTTTAATATAAATGTTTAAAAATAAATAAAACTAAGAAATTTGATATTTTTCAAAAACCAAATTTAAATAAGACTAGCTGAGATCAGACCTGTAAAAATACAGGTTGTTGTAAGTCTATTCCAAACCGAACTTTTCTATACTTTTTCCTTATATATCCTAGCTTTCCGAATCCATAAAATATAGATCTTCCTATCTAACACAAAAGGTTCAAGCATGTTTGACAAACGTTGCGAATGTTCAAGCACATTCTATGATCGCCCCATGAAAGTTATGGAAAATTGTTTAAATGCAGCTAACAATTAACGTTCAATAAACGTTACCATAATGATTGTTAAAGTTTGTGTAATGTATATGCCACAAACATTTTTTAAACCAACTTTTGAACCTATGTTTACCTCAAATGTATTATATATAAATGTATTATGTTTACCTCAAATGTATTATAACGAACACGCACATTTACCTAACATTTTTTTTTAAATTTAAATGCATAAACGTATAGATTTAGACATGTTTTCTTTGTGTTTGAACCAACATTTTCTGGTATTTATTTAATGTAATCATTTTTTGAACTTAATCCTTTTTTATTAAACAAATACAAATTCACCATGTATTACAATTTAATTACACTAATATCAAACATATTTGAAAACTCACGATTTAATTATTACACTTTAACTAAATAGCACACAATTAGTTGAGCTGATTAACAAAAAATTTATACCAAAAAATAATACCTCATGCGATGAAAAAGTTTATTAGTTATTACTAGTTGGTGTGTTATTAGTACCCTAAGGACATTAATAACAACTTACATAAATTTAAGTTAAATCTGTATAGAAAACAACATCAACAACGTCAAAAATAAATACATGTTGTTCCAGTAAAAATATGCACTTTTTTACTTTTTATTTATTATATAATAGATTTTAAACTCTAAATATTAAACTATTACTAAAAATATTATACTATAAACACATAATATAACAATAACTTTATATTAACTATATTCAACTAACAAAATAACCATAATAAAAAGTTAAAATATTATGTCGAACGATATGTCGATAACTAAATAAACTAAATAATTTTAATTTTTAACTTTATTTATATAAATTTTCTTAGCCGTCTCAACTTTATACATAATACCACAGTTTGCATACACATTTTCACTAAATTAGATTTTGCTGTTTCCTAGTTTTGTAGAGAATTATAAACATTTTGTGCTACATGTTAATACAATTATCATCAGATAAAACATGTGTGGAAATTACGGCATTGACCTTTTTTACTGGTTTTTACTTGCTTTTGCACGCCTTCAAATTAAAAATTAATTGCCTTATTTGTCTCATATCACAAACACTTTGTATCTTTTATATAATTCAAGTAACTGAACGTTTGCCATTTTTATTTTATACACATCTTAATTCAATTAATTCATAATTTTAAACATAACTTATGTTGTTTAAACATTTATAAATATATATTATATACATAATTTTTTCTTTAATTTTAAATATTAAACTGCGCTTGTCTTAAATTGAATGCAGTAAAAATAGATAAACTGCTGAAAAGCTTTAATTTTGTTTATGTTTATTTATTTTTAATGTAGTAATTAGTAAAGAAATTTGTTAGCTGTTTAATCTAAGATATTATTAGTACATTTGTAAAAAGATTTTTATATGGCATAAATTTACAAATAAATTTTTATATACATATTATATAAAATTTATAATCATATTATGTTACAAACCTGACTACTATTCATACTTGTCAACTAATCCACGACTAAACCATCGTTTATATTATGAGGTTTATAAAGTATATCGCAAACATTAAGGTCTTTCCGAATTTCATAATAACATTTGCACCTTCAGTGATTGTTGCTACAATGTCACTCTGATGGTCTAAAATCCAACTGGAATTTGGACCATCTTAACTAGTTTAATGCAACTTGCTTAACCTTACCAAGACCTAAGGTACAATGTCACTCTGATGGTCTAAAATCCAACTGGAATTTGGACCATCTTAACTAGTTTAATGCAACTTGCTTAACCTTACCAAGACCTAAGGTGAGGTGTTAAGCACTAAAATCTTGAAGAAAGTATCAATGTGAGAAACTTTTGATGGTGTTGATGATTGTTTTTTGATGACAGATCTTTCTTAAGGCAAAATTTAGCTTGAATCTTATGCTTTGCTTGAAAGTGATATATACGGCTTTTTGTTCCATACCTTTTCAAAACCGCTGAACAAATTTTGCACTTAGCACTATTTTTGTTTTGCTATAATAAAAATTCTCCCAAACATGTGATTTTTTTAGAACTGATGTCTTTAAAGTTGGGCATTTTTTTAAAACCGATTTTCCTCGGTTAAATATATTGACAAATTATGACAAACAGTTATATGTTAAATAATTATTATTTTTAAAAAAAAAAACACTTTTTTTAACAAGAAACCAAGAAAATTAGGTATTATTACAAAGTGCCTTGTTTTAAGGAACTCCTTTTAAGGATGTCTTATTTTAAAAGATATAAGGGATATTTAAGGGAATCTGATGCTAAAAGTTTATTTGGAGCTTATTAAGAATTGCAAAATAAATTATTTAAATTTGTATTTCGTATATTAATTATTTTATGTTTTTCATATTCCGTATATTAACTATTTTATATGTTTTTCTAATGGATTCAAACGGAATTCTATTTGATTTAATATTCAAATTAATACTTATTTCAACTGTTATTCTCTATTGCTTGGTTTTTAGAGCTTATTAAGAATTATATTGCAATATAATAATAATAATAAAAATAATATTTTATCATGCATTAGATAAAAGTGGAGAGGTTAAGGCTATCACACTTGAAATTTCTAAAACCTTTGATAATGTTTTATATGCTGATCTTCCCTATAAGCTTTCTGCTTATGGTGTATCTAGTAACATCTTTAAGATTTCTGAATCCTTCCTTTCCAATAATAGTTTTCCTTGATGGACAGCACTTTTCATCATATCCTGTAACTTCAGGGGTTCCTTAAGGTTTAATCCGAGGCCCTATACTCTTTTTAATTTACATTAATGATCTTCCAAATATTCTCACTTGTAAGGTGGCATTTTTCGCTGATGATACTGAAATTTATTCTTGTCATGATAAGAAGCCAACACTCTCTGATTGCTTGGAGGAAGCATTTGAGCTTGAAAAGGATCTGCTACAGCATGGGGTTCGTAATGGCTGGGAAACTTCAATTCAGATAAAACTCACTTTTTTTCAGCCAATCGTTATTGCAATAATTTAGATCTTCTGACATTTATGAACATTAATGTACTCAATGAGTCATCTACACTTCATCTTCTAGGATTTACTCTTACTTCCAATCTTTCTAGGAAACTGTATATCAAATCCATTGCAAAAATAGCCTCTGCTAAGGTTGCATCTCTTTATTGAGTTTGACACTTTCTTACTCCAGATTCTATTCTCTATCTCTATAAATCTCAAATCCGACCTTGTATGGAATACTGTTGCCATATCTTAGGCGGATCTTCTAATGATGCCCTTTCTCTTTTAGACAAGGTACAAAAACGCATTGTAAACATAGTTGGACCTGCTCTTGCAACAAACCTTCAACCATTATCACATCATTGTAATATTGCTTCTCTTTCTCTTTTCTACAAATACTATAATGGACACTGCTCTAAAGAGCTAGCGTCTCTTGTGCAATCTAATAAAATTCATTTTCGTGTTACTCATCATTCAATTTAGTCTCATCCTTTTTCTGTGACTGTTTCTAAGTGCTCAAAAAACTCTTATTTGTCAAGTTTTTTTCCTCGAACATTAGTTCTTTGGAATTCGCATCCTTTATCTTGTTTTCCTGATTCATATAATTTGCAACCTTTTAAGTCGTCTGTCAATTATTATCTTGCTCTAAAATTTTTATCTTTTTTCTTCCAGTAACTTCCAACTATAATATTAGTTGCTTGTCTTGTTGGAAGTAAAGATGTTAATATATATATATATATATATATATATATATATATATATATATATATATATATATATATATATATATATATATATATATATATATATATATTTACTGTAACAACAATATATACATTGTTGCAGAGCATACTGTGATGCTATAACAGCTGTTAATGTTATAAATTGTCAAAATTAGTTTTAAATAAATTTATGACCCTTGAAGAAATAGCATAGTTTGGCAAAGAATTCTAGTTTTTAATTATTCTATTGTTGAAAAAGTTATTTCTTAGGGAACTCTTAAGTTTTTCACGTTTTATTCTTTTACTGTCCACGTATGTTTAATGAAGGGCTGTTGCATGTTAGTGGAGAAACCAGTTTTGGTTTTTTGAACCAATTCACAATTTGTAAGCAATTTGATATTCTATATTGGTATATCATAAATTAGAAATTAGTTAGTTCTAGTTCTGCAATTTTTTAAAGTTGTTAAATAGTCTATCTTCATATGGAAGGTTTTAGATATCTGGAATGAGTTTTGTGGCTCTTCTTTGAACCTTTTTAAGTTCTACTATATTATTAGGTTCTAAACTGGTACTGAATATTCAAGACAAGGTCTCACTAGTGTAAAATATAATTAAACCCTGTGACCTTCGCGCTTTAGCAACTGCTGAGTTTAATTGCTCATGCGATTTTAGATCAGCTGATATTAATATACCTTTTCTTTCTAATTTTGCTTCTTTAATTTTGTTATTTCCATCTATGTCGTTAATAAATTACTTGTATTTTGCAGTACCAATGTGCATGATTTTACATTTTTCTTCATTGAGTTTGATTCCCCACATATTACACCAGCTTAAACTAACCCTATTATGAACATTTTTGTGCTATACCTTTTTTAAAGGTTTTGTGTGGGGTTGAGGTGAAGCTTCTTAGTCATGGTAACATCCAAGGTAAATAAGATGTTAAATTGTGGAAAAGATTTGTATTGTTTTCTTAGTTGTAATACCTTTGTATTGTTTTCTTAGTTGTAATACCAAGGTTAAAAATCTTTGATCTGCAAAACAGGATAACAAAAGGAGAGGTATCTGGTTGAAAAAATATTGCTTAACCTTTTAGGTGTATATGTGCATGTGTATGAGAACACACATATACTGCATACATATATATATACTGCATATTGCTATTAAAAACTTTTTTTGTTTTTGTTGCTAGGAAACAGAAACAAAAAAAAAGCAATTAAAATTTTATTTTCACATAATTTTTAATTTATACAAAATCAAATTAAAATAATAAGTTTTTTTACATCATTTTTATGATAAAACCAAATAAATTTTTTTTAATTATTTTAAAATATTTTCTTTTAATAAAAAAAATATTTAACTAAAAAAACTTACCTTATCTATTTTTAACAGGGCATCAAAAATAAAAAATGACAATGAGGCATTTTCTCCAACATCAACATCACTTGCTTCAACAGAACATACAAATGTACCAACGGGAGAATTTTCTCGAACAGAGCAATCATACAAACTTTTTCGAAACTTAGGATCGTTATCATTTTCATCATTAATAATGACAATAATTGTTGATATACTTTTTTGCGGTGGTATGCCACGATCAGTTAAAATGATATCTAAGCTATATTTACTAATATTTTCTCGATCAAGAATGCC